CGATGGACATCAGTCAAAGGCACCATGAATAGTGGGAAATTTGCATCAGTAATTACGAAAACGTTTTTAGAATTTCATGAAAAGATAACCGTCAGGAAAAGTTATCGTTTTTCAGAATAACGCTCCGTGTCATGTTTCACGAAAGGTTAGTAAATTTATTTATTCAAGCAGTCTGGTTCACTTATCATTTGCTTTTAGACTTCAGAAAAGATGCGTGACTCTAAGGTCCAGTTCATACAACTTCCCCCTAATAGCCTGAATCTCAACGTGATTGAAAATCCGTTTTCTTTTTTGAAGAGAGGCTAATGTGCTACCTATACATTGTATATTGAAAGCAAAAGTGAGATACGTAATGGAGCACAAAATAGAAAATGACTTCATAACAAAGTTGGTGGATTCGATGCCAAAGAGACTCGAAAAAGTCCTAAAGAACAAAGGCAGACCAATCGACTATTAGTGTACACAAACTCTACACCTCAATTATTATCAATGTTAAATTTTTGTTAACAAAATTTCTTTTATTCTCTATAGTTAGCTCTTAACTCATCATGGTCTAGGTCAACCACTAATAACGAAATGGGAGTATCCGCTACATTCTTAACCTTTCCATCAGCTGAGTATAAACGAATCGGTAAGATTAAGTCCATAAAGACTCACCAAGGCTTGTTTACTATTATTTGGAAAAGAATTTTGCTTCAGTATAAATGCTGTTACCTATACGAACAGACAGGGACCCGTTGCTTCAGTTTCGATTAGACCTATATATATATATTCAAGTGCAATAAGCCGTAAAACATCCATCTGGACATTGTTCTCGTAAAAAAGTGAAGTACTTTGTTAAAACATGTCAGAAATTCTCCTGTGCATATGTAATTCGTGCTTCGTCTGTCGACTGCTCTCAAGTCCAACTCAGAGTCGGTTGCGAAGACAGATAAGTGAAACACACCCGCTCTGGAAGAAGATTCCTTTATACATTACTTGTGATAGAAATTGCTTAGGAAGGAGTGCTCGCTTGAAAATGTGTAAAATTCCGGGTTCGTACAGTCAGAGAACGTATGCCAACAAATCCACACACCGCGCGTCCTCGTAATCTGCGTGGAAACCACTCAAGCGTTTCGCCCGTCACCAGACTGGAACGAAATCAAAAGAGTGAAGTGGTATCCTTCATGTCAGGTGGGGGCTCTCTGTATCCGGATCGGAAAGGTACCTGTTGAAGGTTCTCATAGCAGAATGATGGGTACAGTTCTGTTAGCCACACTTAAGTGCGATTAAAGAACCGCCAAATTTTTTCATTGGGGCTATCAGGTGGATAAGCATCAAAAAAGCGGTCTCACTCACGTTTTGACTCTGAAACAGTCGGCTCCTTTGGAGCTGGTTGAGAACCCTTGTCTGTGCGATCACTTTTTTCTTGACGATGGGTGGTAGGTTTAGAATCATTACGCGCTTTGGTATCCCCGTCAGATCCTACGGAATCGAGAAAACAGAGAAAAAATGAATAGACATAGAAATACTAGACAAAACACAAAAATGCTCACAAGAGTACATGTATGAGAAAGTGGAGATCAGCGAAAAAGTCTAGACTCACTTTTGCGGGAACTGGCTGCTCTGGTAGACGTGTTCTCGGGCTCGACTGTTTCCGGCGTTTTTTCGCCCAGAACTAAATGTTTCGGCGGGGATTTCTCTCCCGAATTCCCGTGCTCTTGCATCCATTTGAACAGCTCGTCATTTCCAAAGTCGCAGTGCAATGTATGCGGATTCATGGATGGCCAACGGCAACCATCGAGACCTTCACGACAGCTACAGAGAGAACACGATTCGAAGGGAAAGCGAATTGTATGGGTGGTTTTGGGAGTCAAATATACCATAACATGCATTTCAGTGAAATTTAGCGGATTCTGCTCAATATATAAATAGCTTCTCGTAACTGCAAGCAAGGGCCAGTTCGCTTTGCTCTTCGCTCAACAATCATTCGGGGAGGAGACGCTATTACCCTTATGGGGATGAAGACTTGGTTTCTAACATGGAAAGATCCGTCAACGCCTGGATAACAAAATAGTGGTGAAGCAAAATCAAGAATGGGAATAATACAGCTCTACCTGAGTAGTTGCCTGATGTGGATGACACGATTGTTTGCATAGCACAACAACAAAGTACTACTTTTTTGTTTCGTTCATGAATTTACGGGAGCGATTCCGATTACGTTGTAAGTGAACAACTACATATGACTGGGAGGAGGGAAAAATGCACACAAGCAATGTATACAGGCAATAATAAAAAAGGGTAGCAAACATCGGAATCCTACAGACGATTAGGTACGAAAGCAAGGATACGAAAGGGAAGCACTGATAACAGATCACAAGAAGCGCTACACATCCCTTAAACGAATGCATAGCATACCATTTACTAATCCATATTGGAAAGAAAATCTTCGCCGTCGCCCTTTCGTGTTTGGAATATTACAAGTACATCACATTTGGAAAGAAACAGTGAGTACCGTGACCAGTTGAACAACAGATTTTAACATTATCTTAACGACAAAGAAAAACATGAAAAATTATCAGATTTCTGGCAAAACACACCGAGTCGCTGTCTCAACCGATTCCAGACGAACGAGAGAACTGGATTTGATTCGATCTAGCCAAAGATCGCAGACAGGACCAAATCGCTCGGAGATCATCTGACGCAATTGATCTGCAGTGAACGGTCTGACCAATGAACGAATATAGATAATGTTGGTGGGACGATGTTTTGCTGGCGAAAACGGGTTTATGCGTTCGGGTGCCTCGATCAAATAACCCACTGCTTTAGTCTCTGTGATGCATAGGTGAAACGATAGGGGGTGAAGGGACAACCCAAATGAAGCAAATCGCATGGTTTGTCAACAGCAACAATGATGAACAAACAGAAAATTCACGAGCAGTCAACCGTTAGTTGCAAAGTAAGATCAGCGTTTATCAGCTCTTGGCTTGAAAACAGGGAATATGAATTCGATTAGGTCAATAAATAAATGTAGTTTCGAGCTGTCATGTGTCGGCTCCTAACAACAGAGTTCACATTGTGCATTACGGTTAAGATGCGAAAAATGAGTAGCATTGTAAAAATTCAAAAAGGATGAGACAAGTAAATTATTTCATTACACACCCACGTGTGATGAACAGCAGACGGGGCGAGGACCTGCTGTGGAAACCGGCAACCTAAGCCCCGGGACTTAGAGTGGCGAACCACATAGGGCCCTGATAGTTCAGACGTGGTATTGAACCGGACGACAGCAGAGCTGCCTACCACCAATATGAACTGTCAATTACGGAAAGTACTTCAAACGTCATTGTGTAAAAGTAAGAGAATTAGTGTATCACAAAATCTTACAAGACTTATATAGAACTGCCACGCTGTGAATGAAGCATTCCAAGTAAGAGAGAAGGATCAAACTATTTGTGTTGGTACGAATGACAAGTCAATTTTGTTAAAACACAAAATATCCCGTTCTATGGGGCCCTGGAATTAGTTGAATTTTAGTAAATTAAATCCCAAAAGAACGCAATTATTGCACAATAACCGCTTTTTGTATGACCATTGCAGACATAGTAACACGATCCCCTTACCCCAGCCACACTGCCATGGTAGGTGGGATAAAAGAGTTGGTACTGTTAAGCTTGAGCCCATGGTATAGATTAATTGTTGTTTAACACTGCGGGGCAAGTGTTTAATCAATGACACACCCAATGTTTGTGGTACGTCCTTCTTCAACGTAGAACCTAATGGGAAACGGAAGCAAATGAAATATGGAATTTCGTGACTAACGGATATAAAACACTTCAGCCACTTAACTGAATCGCAGTGGTCGTAGGATGAGATATCCGGATCGAGTTTTAAAAAATACTCATGGCAAATACTACCGAAGACAACATATGATGCAAACAAGAGTCGTCACAGTTGACATTTCAATATTTATCCTGTTCTCTGTGACTTTCGTTAGCAATAGGTTCTAACATGATAATGATCATTTTCTATTGGATTTCCGATTGATTTGACAACAAAAACGAACATGACGATTAAGTGTTGGACGGTTTTAAAGCAGAACTGATTTTCGATCACATACACAGGGCTGTTTTTCACTGTTGACTATTGAAATTGTTGCGAACTGACGTGAATCTGAATGAAAGATCTACAAGGTGCACACGATCTTCAGAAATTATTTCCAAATAACAAAAATGAGCGATCAAAAGCAGTGAGTTATTTTTTTATAACACAAGCACTTTATGAAGGCATTAGATTTTGCTGCTTTTTGCAGCGCACAATAAACACGAGGCACAGCAGAATGGATGAATCCAACGCATTGATGAAAAAGTCAACAGAAGACTTGCAGGTTCGGCCCTAAATGAGTGTAGCCAGACTTAAACAAACACAGTGATTTGAATGTATCATACGTCTTTCTTCAACGAACCGGATGCTTACCTTTCGGTCCTTTACGCTTTCCTGAGGATGATTTTGTATGAGCAGTGACTTTGGTGGCGGAAGTCGGTGTACTGATGTCATTGTGTTTCTGGTCGGTCGTAGAACTACCATTCAAGCTTTCACGGGATACTGAATTCTTATCCAGATTTAAAGAACCAGAGTGGGGACTTGCGTTTGGTGATTCCACCAGTGCTTCGCTAACAGTCTGTTCAGATTCAATGTGTTGATCTGTCATATCCGGATCTTCAGATGCTATCGTGGGATCTATGTCAGACGACGGTGCTTCGGATTTTGAGGACAGTGTGTGTGTTTTTTTATCTGTACCAGTGGTCAATGTGGGGACTAATTTCTGAAAAGCAAATTAAAAGGAAATCGGTTAGGTGATTAGAGGAGGAGGGTAACAATGCGATAGACTAACACAATGCTTCCTTTTGTTCATGACAAAACAAAATGAACGTAAGATTGTGCTACGTAATGACATTCGGCACATGACCGACACAAAATGACAAATCGTAAACCTTTATTCACCAATGCTTCAGCAGGAAAAAATGAAAACTGAGTACCTTTGCATTTTGACGTGCGATTTATGATCTCGGAATTGTAAAACGAAGAACAATCAGAACCATAAAGTCAGTAAAGCTCTTCGCACGAACATGCACTTTGATACACATGTACACCATGTCAAAAATAGCATTTCGGATTGGGTCTGCAACCGCGGAAATGCAATAATCCTAAAAGGACCCACCTCCAATGAATCCGATGAAATTATCGGTACTGTCGAATTGATCCGATCTCCGGACTGTGAACCCCATTGACGTCGTCGATGACTGACTGGTCCTTTGTGCTCCGAATGGATCTTACCCGTTGGAGAGTCAATGTTGTCACTCGAAAGACGAGATGAACCGCGGTAAGCCTTATCGGTCGAAGCCTTTGGTTTGTGATCTAAAGCAAGGATAGAAAATGAATGTCTTTCTAAGAATAACAGCCTTCAAAGCAAGTTCGACGAAAACGGGCGCAACTTAATGAGAAAACATGGAGGTCATAGAATTTAAGCTACACCTGAAGCCCAGATGAAGCAATATTGATAGGGAATTCCGAGGATAGCAACAACAAATCTAGGTCTCATATATGAAAGTCTGGAGCACAAAAGGATGTATTAAATAACTGTCGCATTACCTTCAACTAGCTTTATTGATTATACATTGAAATATATGCCTATAAGTAAGCTGCTGTGCCAACCAGAATATTAACAAGTAAAGCGGCAAACTAAGACAGTGATTTATGCCCCCTATACCCAGCCATAGGTGGGTTTATTTTCCAAAACATTTACAAAACTTGGTTGGCGTACCGAAGCAACGGTTTGAAAAGAGAATGACTTGCAGTACATAGTCGAAGTTCTTCAGATTGGAAGTGCAAACTAGCGCCCTAGTCAGTAAACTGAGCGAATTAATTAACCTGGTCCAATGTACCTCGTTGAATATTTCAATCATATATTGTTCCTAATGGAGGCGCCATTCACTCATGCTCAAACATGTGGAGTTGTCTGTTGTATGACACTCGTCCACCATCGAATTATTCACTCCGTAACACGTCCCAATTCCAAGCACTTTTATCTTTTTTGTTTCGATTAGACGCAAGCGCCACCTCACCAGCACTGAAGATGTCACTTCGGGTGGTGATAAAACGTTTGCAAATTGTCAAGCTCGACAAACAGGTGAAAATCAAATCAGTTCACCTGAGCTACGAGAACGGATTTTCAATATTCCGTCAACCAAATAACCTGTTTGTGTTTAACCCTGCATTTCATTCTGTCGGATATCAACTTAAGATAACAAAGCAGATGAAATTTTACTGAATCAAAATAAAGTAACGTACCTAACGTGCCATTAAGGTCTGTCTTTTCAACGGAGTCACTCGTTCTCACAGCAGTCTGATAAAGAGAGAGGGGTAACAATAAACCATGACATCTGTTCAAAACGGATGATGATTTGAAGCGGAAAACAGTAATCACTGTCACGCGGTTGTCATTCAAACACACGCAGACACACTCAATTGGCACATAGATTTAGCGAATCGATGAATGCATTTGGTGAGACAATACGAAGTATCTATAGGTGCGACGCGAAAACTACATCAGTCGAATATTGAATCCCACTCAAATATAATTACTCAAGTAAGCAGTCCTCGAGAGAGAGAGAGAACACGATCTGCATGTCAGCAGTTCAATGATCGTTGGGTAATGTACGATGACAACGGTTTGACTGCTTACAGTTCTGTTAAAATAAGCTGCATTGTGTTTAACGCAAACTGGCACGAAAGCCAATGGATATTGCTTTTAAAAATCACCATCTAAGGGTTATACTTTTGTTATCAATCGGTAACCGCATTCGTAGAAGGGAAGAATACCAGTAAAACATACAGGTCAGATGGAACGGATTATCGCGGCGAATTGTGTAAACAGACCTGATGATGTAAGAAACTGACCGTTACATGCGCAATGCACAATGAACCTTCTGGTACTTGGGTTAGATGTGTGGAGTAGGTCTGGCAGAATTATCGCGCCAAGAATGCCGTGTTTGCATGATAATAGTGGACGATTTTATGTCAAGCATCGAACTGGGTACACGATTTGCGCCAGGTGTAATTCATGTTTGGGATAGACGATAAACTTATCACTGAAAATAGTCCCTGTTGTGTACTTCGATTCAGGCAAAATGACCACACAGGTGTGTTCAGAGCACGATCGGAAAAGAAGCAGAACTGATGGAAACCTTCATCTAGTTTGAGGCCCAAGAACCCACTCAGTTTGGGACGTTTTCACACCAACCTCGTTTCTTTAACCATTTCGCCCTCACCCATTGATGTTTTGGTGTATGAAGTTCAAAACCATTATGTTCTCGCAATCTGAGAAGACTAGCTCGTGGGTTAGTAAACCGATGCAGACAAAAAGCGGAGCTGGAATGAGTTGGCAGATCAAATAAACCTAAGTCATTCGGTTATGTGTGAACAGCAGCAGTCTACTAATGTCGTGTACAAAACGACGGCGAAACAAAGGGCTGGTGTTTTGTTTTCCACTGTCTACTTTGCAAGAATTGAGCGATCTATTCAGAACCGCATAAGGCATTTAAGATCACATCAGAATCCTAGTATTGTTTTGAAGACAAAAATGCAATCAATGTGATGTGGTCCACGACGACTTCAGACTAACGAATCACCAAAAGACAACTGAATGAGAAATATGGGGAAAATTTAACTGCTGTTCATGATAAGAAGAGTATAAAAAGCTACCAAGGAGTAGGGAACTTGCGTGTGTGCCGGGGTGCAATGCCCAAGTGCGACCAAAGACCGATTGACGAGGTACGAAATTCCTTGAAACGGTATTGCTCTGGTAAACAGGACTATGCCTGTGGATCAGTAGGAATCACGGCAACTATAACACGTGAGTACCCCGGAGAAATGCAAACATTTTAAGAGAGAAATTGAAATGTTCTCCCGAAACAAAAGAGGTGTGTCATGTGGTTTGAGTGTAAGTGATTTAAGAAGGTGTGGGGCGGGAAACAGAAATAAGTTTATAAATGGGAATGGCTCAACAACTGGATGATATGCGATCTTATGGCAGGAACTGGAACGATGTGCCAGAGGACTGGATGAAAACAAATACTGACAGGATTTTTCAACAGGTCCCAGTGAAAATACAACGAGTTCAATGATTGTTCGGAAGTGTAAAGAAGAATGCGAGACAGGAAGTCAAACATAAACAATAAGAGTGCATTTTGAAACGAATGAAACACGGTAGTTGAAAAACATCAATGCCGGAGTAACAATTCAATCCTGAGTGAAGACATCATTTTGTCAAACGGCAAGTTTGTGAATGCAGTTCGAGTAGTGTTAGGACTTGCAACAATATATGATGATTTCAGGAACCAGCAGTCAAATTCCAGTCGGACAGGCTTGAACGAGCACGGACGGTGGTTGCATACTGTTTCCCTCTTCCCGTGTCAAATTCGTTAGCAGCGTATGGAGGCAGTGAACGTGGGATCGAGGGACGCGCAGTTCTACTCAATCGGGCACGTTGATCGGCTCAAGCGACTATCGAGTACAAACACAAGGAGATGACGGTTGCTCGTTTAGAAGTACAGTGACAGAATTGGGACAGATGTGCGTCGGCACCAAGAGGAATAGATACCGCTGCTGTAGGTCACAGGGGAGAAGACCAGAGACAGTACGCAAAAACAAACGATATAGACAGGAAAAACGGTTTCCGTCTAGGATAGACCAACCTTCTACAGGAACCGCGAATACCTGGAGACGACCAGGAAGGTGCAAATGTTGCCAATGGAGCACCACGAGAACAGTAATGAATACATACAACGTTTATCCTGAAAATGGCCTTTGTTTGGTTTGAACAGAGCACCATTGAAGGTACGTCACTATCATTCTTAGTACATATATAGAAACATAGGTATCAGTGCGTTGGTAAAAAAACGAGAACCAAGAATAAACTTTTAACTTACTGATGACTTTGAGCTGCAAATGTGAAAACGACAAGAAAATTTACTGAAGTAATGATTGGTAATGGTTTCATCCTAAAGC